ATGGAAAGAGAGATGCAGCAGATCAATTGAAGGGCGGTCCAATCCACGGGAGAAGGTGTGGATAGAAACCAGAACAATGATTCAAGCTGAGATTCTTTGCAGATGGCGGAAAGTCAGACAAGCCTGGACAGAGGACGAAGAACAGCGAAAGAAGGAAAGACTGAATTTCCACAGGAGCTGGTTGATAGACGACAAGATTGCTTAGATACGAGAGGACCGCATTTGCTGGAAAGAGTGGCATAATTCAGTCCCGGAAAAGGGTCCTCAACAACAAACAACGCCAGACAGCACGATCACATCTTGAGACTCTACGGAGGAGGGCAGTTCCACAGGAGCTCAGACAGTAGGGACTGAAGAGAGATGATAGGGTGAGAAAATACGAGGAAGAGGAAGTCAGGATTACAGCCCAGGACAGGTTCTTATAATGGCCTCGTGAGATGGAACAGCAGGTGACAACACAGGAGTGGAAACGCAGCATAGGCCTAAGAAGAATACGGGCTGCATGAATATTAATGGGGGCCTCAGAGCAGGATCCTATAGCGAAGGACTGCCAATAAATGAAGTCTTGTCAACTCCCACTTTCGTTTTGGGGATCAATGTGCAAGGAGACCTAGTCCAAGAAACAGGAGTACGGGAGCAAGTTCGACCCAAACGATTGGGGAAAAGGGGCATGCTGTCTAAGGGTTTAGGGTTTAAGGTGGTAACGGGGTGTACCAATGGAGGAAGGACTGATAAAATGGATCACGAGCAGGACATTGTAAGGGGACAGACACAGGTYGACARGGACAATGATTGAGCTCTTTCTAGGGGACATATCATYATYTGGCAGATCTGMCMKCCAGGTCTGAGAGGAAAGAGAGGGTCRGGGCAAGCTGACAGTCAATCCTCCACTGAGGTGGAGCAATCAATACTGCTCAGGGGTCCTTCGGCCTGAACGGAAGGAAGCGTGCGTGTGTTCTGTCTCATGTATTGTATATTTTGACTTGCTGGTGGAATAGGAACCGGACTGACGCGGGACTGATGCGACTGATGCTGAGATGCTGGGATGCGAGCGCTCGCGCCGCTCGGGTAGCGCACAGCGCATGCTACCTCGCCATAGTCCGGTCTCACCCGTCATTGCGAGCGCGCGCCTTAGGGCACACATGTTCACGGTGAGCGCCACACAACACTCGCTATATCGCCATAGCCCGATCTCGATCCTCATCACGAGCGAGCGATTTTTTCCGCAACTTCATTCTCTAATCTAGCTCGAGTGTACCTCCCAAGTCTCGCGCACGGGAGGATGCACTAGTTAAATTCCGGGAACGCCATAGCCGAACGTTAAGGCGCGCGCCTCAGGCGCGCGCCAATACCATCTGTCGCAAGAGGGGAAAAACAAAGATCAACGCCAGACAGCTGCGCAATCAGACTCAAGGACGCCGGATTCACCATCACCCGAGAAGTCTACCATCAATCAAGACGATCCCCGGAACGGCCTTGTCCGAGCCTCTTTTAGAAGACAAACCCCCGCAAGAGTGAGATCTATTATCCCCCTTCGATACTCACCACATCTACATCCTTTCCCCGATCCCTCGACTACCTTCCAGCCCTCTTTCTGTTCTCGCCCCCCCTACCCCAACTTCGACCACCTCCCCACCGGATTTCGGCACTCTCACAACCGCGCTTCTCGCCAAACCCGACTCATCGCAATCTTGACTCCCGCCCAATCTCAGTCCGCGTCCCCCTCTCAATTCCAATCCAAAACCCAATTTCAACCACTTCACATCCCGAACTCGTCCCTCTCCGGGCATCGACAGATCTCGCCTCTATCTCCCTTATTATCTCCCCACCCCCATACCAACTTCGATTCTTCCCCAATCCGGACGTAGGCTCCCCCCCTTTCAGACTCCATCCTCCTCCCAATCCTGAGTCCCGCCTCTCTAGGATCTAGACCCGGCAAAGTCTCGACTTTAATCCAAATCTGAACTTTACCTCCACCCCAAAGCCCCATCCCGATTTCGACTCCCTCCCAATCCCACTCCTTTCCTCCCAATCCTGAGTTCCGCCCCGATCCCAATAGAGCACGACCCTAACCCCCTCAGTTCCCACTCATCCCCATCCCGCCCTCAATCCCAACCCCACTGATGATCTCCATATTGGTCTCTACTACCTCCCAACCCCGTTCACGGCTCTCTCCGATCCCAACCCACCCGAGCTCCACTCCCACCCATTCCCGGCCCTGATCCCCCTCAAATACATTTCCGACCCCCTACATTCCTGACCACTCCCTCCTCTCGTCAATCCTGACCCTCGTCCGACCCCATCCCGACATCCCGCAGATCCCATCACACCACTGATTGCCATCTCCCGCCACCTCCCGCCCCCAACCAATCTTGGTTTCATAAGACACATATCCTCAATACCTTTTCTTCCACTCTCACATCACAACCCACCCTTCCTCTCTCGATACCACCTATTCTCAATACCGTTTCCATCCCATCTCGATTCCACTACCCATCCCTTCCTCTCCTTCCACCTCACCCCCTCTCCATCGCGGACCCGACCTTTTCCCCTACCCCGTAACCATCCCGCTATAGGCCAGCGCCTGCTATCAACCCAGCCCCCAACAATTCATGAGTGTGTTCCGACCTCCAATCGGCCCCCGACTTGATCTGATCCCATCCCATCTCGTGATCAACCAGCTCCGATCGCACCACTTCAGCACCCCTTTTCGCCCCACGCTGTTTCCACTCCATCACGACCCCGTCCCCCGACCCAATCTGCCAACTCAACTCGGATCTAAACCAATCCCAACTCCGCTCGTCTCTCATCCGCTTCGCCTGATCCTCAACCCGCCTTGTCTAGCTTGGCAATTTTCCCTTTTTTTCGGAGAAATCAGGTCTATATCTTGATCCAGTGCCTAGCCGATCTGAATTGTTTAAAAGCCGATCCCCAAGTGGGGAGGCAAAATGCTGCCAACTTTTTCGCAGGAGGCTAAGACCCAATATTTCACGTGCGTGTTTTGACTCCCAACCAGACCTCATCCTTGATCTGATCCCAACCCTTTTTAAGTGTTCATCTTCCACTCTTTTCCATCGCATCGGCACCCCTCGTCCACCTCATGCTAATTCCACACACGGCGAACCCACCCCCCAACCCAATCTTCCAACCCACTCTGATTCGATCCCACATCCCGCGACGCTCATCCATCTCGCCTGGTCCGCAATGTGCTTTGTCCGGCGCGGTAAGTCGCTCCTTTCAGTGAATCTGAACATTACCTTGATCAAGTGCCTCGCTGGGTGTTTTTAGCTATAAGCCGATCCCCAAGTGGGGAGGCAAAGACTGCCAACTTCATCTAGATCCCAAGGCAAATTCGTCCAAACTATCTATCCCATTCCGACGTCAACTTCGCACAACTCCATCTCTTTTCCGTTCACTGACCCCGACCTTCTTCACACTGATCTACTCCTCCATCGCGACTCCAACTTGTAGACGGGATTCCTCGATCTGCTATAACTTTTTCCAGGAAGACATTTCCAGCAATGGCGATGTCTTATTCCCAGGCAGCTCAAAGGGCAATGAGTGAGAAGGAGGAGAAGGACTTTGCGAAAGGACAAGGGGGAGCGTCAATGAGCCACTCAGGGCAGATGCCATCGCAGTCAGGCACAAATTCGAAGACGGAGGCTACCAAGTCACGAACTTTGGGGCAAAAGGCAATGGAATTCCTGCTGGAGAAAACTCAGATCAAGGTGGAGATCAAAGTAACAAAGGAGATAATCAGGGGGGAGGGAGGGAAGGAGGAGGAAGTGGATGTTTGGGAATACCCAGAGGAGGACATCCAGTCCCTGAACGAGCTGTATGAGAAGCATGCGGTGCTGTTCAACTTTTCGGGACGAAGCAGGGAACTTTCGTTGAACGAAAAGAGAAGATGGGTGATGGACAGGCTAATAGCCATGGAAGACGTCCCAGGGAAGGAACCAGAGGTATCATACCACAGGAGGGGAAGGTTTTCAGTTATGATTGTCTGCGTGGATCCAACTTACGCGCAATACCTGATATCGATCGGATCTCTGAAATGCAAGATGTCGGTGGTGACAATCCAACCTTGGAAACCACCAAGGCCGCCGCAGGCTGAAGCTTCAAGACACAGGCAGTCCATGCTAAGAAACCACTTCTGGGTTCAGTTTGATAATCTATCAGAGGGGATGCACAGTTTTGTTCAAAGCAGGCTGCAGGCGGAGTATCCAAACAACCCAATCATCGAATGGTTCCCAGCTAACCCGGACTTCCTGGCACCTAATCACGATGCAAGAGTGGCATGCTTGGAAGTAACGTCAGGGGCACCGCCAAAGTTCCCAGATCAGTGGATCTTCAAGAAAAGTGGGCAGAGAGTCACAGTGTTCATCTCATCCAAGACCAATCCTTTCTGCTTCAAATGCAGAGGCAGAGGCCACCTGGGTACTTCATGCCCACAAGGGAGCTTAGGAGAAACAGCGGGGAAAAGGATGGCATTGAAGCAATCGATGATGCAGGAGTGTGAGAGTAAACCGGGAGTATGGTACATAAATTCAGCACAGTACAGGGGATGGATCTTTGATGACAATCTGGAAAACCCGAAGTGGGTGTGGGTGATGAAAGGGGAGCCGACAGTTAAGCCGGACATCTATCCTCCTTATGACAGCAGGTGGAGGCACACAGGAGCCAAACGCATGGAGGACAAGGAAACTGGATTCCTTATCAAACCCATGTTGGAGGAAGAAGTAATGCAGGATGTGGAACGGAGATTGAAGCTCATGAGGGAACTGCACGAGGTTGGGAAGAATGCAGAATTGGCATTCTTGGAGAATGCAGAAGCCAGATCTCAGCAGCAGGGCCAGACAAGAGACAAGGAGGAGAGGTCGAGAGAAATGGAGGAGGGTGAGGGAGACAATATGGATTGCGAGCAAGGAGGGAAGGCAGAGACTGAGAGAGGAAGTACTTCCACAAAGAGGAAAGGAGAGGCAAGAGGAGAGATTGGGTCTAACTCTCAAGAAGGAGATTCACATCAGGGAAAAAGGAGACAAAAGACCCAATCCGGAGGGGGGGACACTACAAAGGAGGAAGAGGGGGAATCAGCAGGGAGATCGGGGAAGGAGAGCGAGCCAGACTCAAGCTCACGGGATGCGACCTCAAAGAGAAGCAGGGCACGAGAAGATGGGGCAGGCATCGCAGGAGACAAAGAGGAGGACTTGACAGACAATGACCACCCAGAAGGATCCTCACAGTATGATGAAGACAAAAGCGGTTCCCAGGGGGCCCAGGACCATGAAACATTGGAGGACGAAGAAAGGGTAAGAGAGAGGGCGAGAAAGAGGGGCATGCAAAATGTCGAAAATATGACAGTGCAACAGATTTTGCAAGCAGAAGAGGACCAGAGGGAGAGTTCAACAGACGAAGAAAGTGAAGCCTCATCAGGGGAGGAAGAAGAAGAGGAGGAGGAAGATCAGGAAGACTCAGATGCAGAAGATTAGACAAGGGACAGGTGGGTAAAAGAAGTAGAGCAGTTGGAATGGGGCAGGACGATCGAGTGTGAAATCAGGCTGGCCCACCACAAGCACTTGAGGAACCTCCAGCAAGCCACACAAGCAGGGGAGGACATCACATCAGAAAACAGGTTTGAATTGCTAAGGAAGGAAGGAGAAATCAATAAGTTCTATGCATCCCAATACGCAAGAAAGAGTTGTACAGTAAGGAACGAGATCCACATACAGCAGGAGGAGTACAGGAGGTTATTTCAATGGCCAAAGACCTACCACAACAAGGAAAGGAGGAGGGACAGTAAGAAACGAAAAGCACAAATGGCAGAAGAGCAAGGCAGTACAGCCAGTGGTGAGAATGATTCAATGGATAGTGCAGCAATGGAGGAGGATCAGGAGAAGAGAGAGAGAGAAGAGGAGGAGGTGCAGGACTTGAGAAGACAAGCTGCGATTTTGCTGGTGCAGGTAAACCTACTCAAGGATGAGAACAGAGAGTTGGAGGACGACACAGTGAGCGTGCAAAAAATAGCAAAGGGTCAGTGGAAGGAGATAGTAGCGGCTGCCCGTCTGGAAATCAAGAATGGGACGAGGAGGAGAGTGGTCTTACCATGCAGATGGAATGCAAGACACTCGGACTGGGAGGTGGCAATCAACCAATCCTTACAACTGTTAACGGCCCCGATCGAACAATGCTCAGGCCCGGACCTTCAGAGATTAATAGGGGGAGAGGTGCCAGCTCGAGCGTTCTTATTGAGAGAGGGAGAAGAGGAGTTGATGGTGATGGGGGAGGAAAGTGAGGAAGAGACAACAACTGATTTTGGACCGCTGCTACTTCAAATGGGGGCTGATTCCATACTCAGGGAGGGTTTGATCTGGATGCCGTGGCAGGTGGTGGAGACCATCCCCTATGGGTTGCTGGGGGGACAACTAGGCGCGGAATGGGTGGCGAGGTGCACAGCGGTCGCTGGGAAGATGGAGGCGTTCGCTTGGAAGCCAGAATTCTTCGAGAAGAGGGTAAGTGAGGTAGCATTAGTCTTAGAGCTCACCGCACAAGATACTTGAAAACGGAAAGATAGATGAGAAGTCCACATTCCAACGAGGAGACCCAATGGAGAGAGGAGAGTTAGAAAGACCAAGAAAGCAGAGAAGAAGGATTGAGTACGGGTCTACCGGAACTCAAAATAGCGTCATGGAATGTGAATGGCCTAGTCGGGATTTTAGAGAATGGAGACAAGTGGCAAAATATAGTAAATTACTCAGAGTGGTTCTCTTTGTCTCCACCGGATTTCTTGTGTTTGCAGGAAACACACCTACAAGAATCTGTAGGACACCAGAAAACGAAGTACCAGATAGAGAAGAAACTGCAAAGAGTTAAAGCAGCATGGTGGGCCCCAGCAGCAAACAACCATTCCGCGGGTGTAGTTATACTGCAGAACAAAAGGGCGAAAGCGGCAGACAAGATTATCATCACAGAAACAAGGGCGGATGAGGAGGAGGGAAGATGGGTCAAGATTGACTTCGAGCTGCATGAGGAACCCTACATGCTACTGTCGGTTTACTGTCCAAACGGTTATCAACAAAGATTAGATATGATCGACAGGCTCAAAGTACTCTTGGATGGGAATAGGCACCTGATCTTAGCAGGAGACTGGAATGCCACCTTAGATCCTAGCCTAGACAGAATTTCAGGGGGCTTTAGATCAGAGGAAGAGGGCTGGACAGAAGAGTCGCTACCGATTCATGGGCTAATGACGAATTTAGAGTTGATAGACCCCTATAGGTTACTCTTCCCGGATGAAAGACAATTCACCTACAGAAAGAGAAACCGTAGCCAACACGTGTCGGCTTCCAGGATAGACTACTTCTTAACATCACCAGGCATAACGGGCATGTTACATTCAGTAATCATAGGTAGCCTTCCGTACGACGTGGGTTTGGACCACAAACCTATCCTATTGAGTTTGACATCAGACAAACAAATCAGCAGGGGTAAGGGGTTTTACAAAATCAATAATTCCCTCCTTAAAACTAAGGAAATGAGACAGGCGGTTCTACAAGTGTTTCAAGAATATAACCCGGACACACACTCATTCCCAGAACTGCTAACATCACTATCTAAGGCTTCTGCCATAGTGGCTAGGAGGCTCGCGACAAAGAGGAAGGAAAGAGAGGAAGAACTGACGCGAGCAATAGAGATAGCAGAGCGCAATACTATTCTTCGGCCAGGGGACGAAATATATGAAAGAACATTAGAGATGGCAAGAGGAGAGATAGTGGAATGGCAACGCTGGAAAATGAAAGGCTTAAGAATGAGAGTTAGAATCAAAGAATGGGAGGAAGGGGAGAGAATGACTAAATTCTTCTTCCAAAAAATCAAGATTAGGGGCAGGAACAATCTCATAGAGAGCTTAGAAGGGGAAGGGGGGCCGACTTCCGACAAGGAGGGGTTGTTAAGGGTGGCCTTCGACTTCTATAGTAAACTATATACATCAGTGGAAGACCAGGTCCCTAAGCCTAAAGTTGAGGAGGCGAGATCAAAGTTTACGAGTTATCTTCAGAACACAATTTCACGAAAGCATGCTGCCATGCTGGACGAACCCTTAACACAGGAGGAGTTATGGGAGGCACTAAAAACGATGACCCCAAATAAAACCCCTGGGAAAGACGGCCTGACTAGAGAATTCTGGCTAGAATTTTGGCCAATTTTGGGAGAGGAATATGTTTCCTTTCTCGAACAGGCATGGCAGGACGAGGGTATAGGGAGCAAGCCCGCAACGGGGATAGTCACGCTGCTTTACAAAAAAGGGAGTCCAACGGACATACGAAATTATAGACCAATAACTTTGTTGACTCTCACTCACAAAATAGTAGCCAAGGCGCTAGCTAATCGCTTATCCAAAATCACGGCGGKTTGCTTCCATCTGGATCAAACAGGATTCATACCGGGTAGGTTTATTTTGGACAACGTCATGTGCCTAACAGAATCGGTCCGATACATAAGGGACAAAAAAATTAACGCCGCCATCCTTTTTTTCGATTTTGAAAAGGCTTACGATCAGGTCAGTTGGTCTTTCTTACAGTTGTGCATGGAAAAGATGGGAGTAGGGCCGAATTTTAGGAAGTGGATCAGGGTCTTATACAACAATGCACAAGAACAAGTACATATAAATGGTCACCTATCCTCGACCTACCCGATGTCAAGGTCGGTTAGGCAAGGAGACCCCCTAGTTGCTCCTATCTTTCTCTTCATAATAGAGGCAATAGCCTCCTTTTTGAGAAAGGACCCGTCAATAGAAAGACTAACAGCTCCACCAGACCAGTAAGGACACAAGGTGGTAATCCCCACGACGATACTGTTCGCGGATGATTTGACAGTCTTAATCAGGGCAACAGACTCCTCCTTCCAAGCGCTAACAAGAGCTATGAAAGCCTTCCAACTAGCTTCAGAAATGAAAATCAACTGGCACAAAACAGTGGGCTGGTGGATGGCAGAGCTAGACCAAGAGTACCGGATACCTGTCACTAGCCCGGAGGGGCTTCAATGGATGTCACCACAACTACCGCTCCGATACCTAGGGATCAAAATAACAGAAGAGGGGTCGCACCGGTCGATGGCGGCAGACATAATGGCCAGGATGTTAGCAAAGTTCGGGTCTTGGTCGACAGTGTACACCTCTATATACGGAATCGATCCTATCCATGATGTGGTACGCGGGGTCAATTTGGACTCCCCCCAAGGCTACATCGACCCAGCTTAGGAGAAAGGCAGCAACCTTTTTGTGGACAGCGAAGCACAACACAGAACATTTCATAACCAAGGTGGCATGGAAAACGGTAACCAGAATCAAGGGTCAAGGCGGCCTAGGCATCCTAGACCCAAGTCTACAGCTGAAGGCTTTGCAAACAAAATGGGTGGTCAAGCTAATCTCACAGCCTAGGTTATCATGGACTTCATTAGTATTGGAAAGGATCAGGCAGATAGCTATGTACAAAACACCTGGCAATATGACGGGTCTATTCTGGATCATGTGTAGCAACTGGGCTAAAGTGGGCAATAGGAAGGAGAACAGGGATGCACAAGGTGGGAGGGCTAGAAACCCCTCTTATTGGCTACAACTAATACAGCTGTGGAAGGAGGTCTTCCCAGCAAGGGTCAGAGAACCTACTACAAGGGAGGAGGTATTAAGACAACCGATTTTCTGCAATATCTGCATTAGGGACGGCGGCGGAAAACCTCTAACACTTACGAGCAAGGATTCGAGATGGGGCAGATGGGTGGAGCATGGGATATGGCAGATCAAACAYATTTGGGATGATGAGAACAAACGGTGGAAAACAGCAGGGGAATTGAGGAGAGCATTGAAGGGGTGCCACAATCTTCAGGACAATCTGAGAATAGTCACAGACTCCATACACCCAACCTGGRTACTAWTGCTGAGAGAGGGAAAGCAATGGCGAGAGGGGGATTGGGCCACATGGGAGGATGATCCGGAACCTAAACAGGTCTTCAGGGTATGGGACACGGACAAAGATAGGAACGAATGGYTAGTAGCTGATAAATAYGACATAATACAGCYGAGTAGTACCACTTCCCAACTGGACAAGTCCTCCAAAGCACCATTGTAKATTCTCAAACAAGGGTTACARAAGGTAAGAGTGATAGAGATGGATGAGTATACAGTGTACAGTTCAACAGTACCAATCGAGGATCTAGAGGTCGATCCTGGAGAATGGGCCTGGAACATTAGAGATGGACAGTCAAGAGTAGCAAGAAGAATCAACATTCTCCAATATACCACAAAAATGGGGTATAGACTAAGGAACAGATCCAGTTCCATGGGTCACACTCTGACCAAACGCTGGGAGAAGAAAGTAGGGATCCCCAGGAGCCTAATGCCTGATATACCGTGGTCTAGCATCCTATCTATTAGACTGGGTCAGGTTAGAAGTATGCAATGGCTAATAGCGCACGTGGCTCTACCAGTGAATGTGTGGCTCAACGAAAGAAGAAGTCACAATCAGAGAAATGAGGAAGCGGAACTTTGCAGGGTGTGCCAAGAAGGGCTTCCTGAAACTTTGGTGCATTGTCTACTGGAATGTAAGGAGGCAAAAGAAATGTGGGAACAAGTTAGGGGGATCTGGAAACAGGTAGTGACGATAGCCTTTCCAGAGTCAAAGATTACCATGCTTTTGGGGGTCGGGGTTCCCAAAGGATGGCAACCCTACCAGAGGCACATCTTTCAACTGCTGAGACAATATGGACTGTGGACCATTTGGAAAAGGAGATGTCAGGCAACTATGGAAGGAACACTAACTCATAGGAAGGAAGCTAGAGAATTGCTACTCAATACAGTGGAATCACATCTCAACGCACAGTGGAAAAGGGTGAGACAGCAAGCTAGACAACAACCTGGGCATGAGGAGGAAATAATCAGAAAATTTAAACAGAATACTTTGGGCCAGGGGAAAGTAGCAGAGCCCAGAGGCGTACAGCTTTGCTTCAAATGGAGAGAGGTGAGATGAGGATTTCAGGGAACATAAAGGGAGGAAGGCTAAAGGAAAGAGAAGAAATCATCCCTAAGTGGCCTCGTAAAACATTAAAGGAACTGTTTTGAGTTCACCAGTAAGACCTCCCTTGAAGTCTTATGGAAGGTAAGATGCAGCAGAACGATGGAGGAGGCTGTAAGCGCACAGGAGAGAGTCTGGGTAGAGACTAAGGTTTTGATACAGGCAGAAATTCAATGCAGAGGGAAGAAGATCAAGAAAAAAAGGACAGACGACGAAGAGCTGCGGAAGCAGGCTAGAGACAAGTTCATCAAGTCATGGTTGGCAGGGGGGAAGGCTGCTGACAGGAGGAATGATTCCATCTGGAGGAAGGAGTGGCACAACACTGTCTCAAGAAGAAATCTGGAACAGCAAAGCATCGTATCAAGGAGCGGAACCCTCGATTCAGATTCTAACTGAGTCAGTTCTGCTTTCGGATCTCTGCCCTCGATCTACAGCGCAGGGGAACAGGATGCGAGTTGGTAACGCAGGTGAACAAGGGAAGTAAAAGGTTCGAAGTAAAGAGTCCCGGAGCAATGAGGAGGCGATCCTTGAATAGGAATGTTATATCGGGGAACAGTTAAGAAGGGCGAGGGTTTAGGGTTCAGGGTTTAATGGTTGCTTAGGTAAAAAGAAAAAACAGGTGGAACGGGAAGGGCTTGGGTGGATGTTCACAATAGAGGGACTCTTTCTAGGATGTAGCGATGAATTCTGGCAGACCTAATTGTCTGGTCTGAGAGGAAAGAGTGAGGATGGGCAAGCTGGCAGTCAATCCTCCACTGAGGTGGAGCAATCAATGCTGTCCAGGGGTCCTTCGGCCAGATGGAAGGAAGCGTGGGTGAAAGTACTTGATGTAATTTTTTATATTGAAAAAAAAAGAAAAAAGAAAAAAGAAAAAAAAAAGTAACC